GCTTAGATACATAACCTATAATACCCATCCCCCATCTGCAGTTGAAGTCGAGGTAGAAAACGCAAAAACAGTTGCAAGACATCGGGCTGAGAAGACGTGTGAACCTCCAAGCATTATTATTAACAAGTGCATAGAAAATATGTCTCAAGCTGGCATTAGCACAATTACCAAATAGGCAAGCAATGCATAAAATCATTCGGCGAAAACGGGATGAAGTCAACCAAGTTCCTGAAAACCCAAGATCCATTCAAGAGTTAGAATTGCCTCACGAATACAAAATGTATGAGCCCACACCAGAAACAGAGGACAATTTTTGTTTGGTGGATAGAGGAACGAGCAACGCTAGAATTATTCTTTTTGGAAGAGAGAGCTGGTTGGAACATATAGTAACTTCAAGCATTTGGTACGTCGATGGAACATTTGCAATTGCACCACATTTATTTTATCAAGTGTATATCATCATGGTCAAGAAATGTGCGGGCGTGCACCCTGTACTATATGCACTCTTACAGAATAAGCAGAGTGTAACTTATATGAGAATGATTGAAATGATTAAGGAGATGGTACCAAATGCACGACCCGATGCCATAAACTGTGATTTTGAGTATGCAGCTTTTGCAACCATGAAAGACTGCTTTCCCGATGTAGAAATCAGAGGCTGTCTGTCCATTAATCGCAAAATTTACTAAAACAGATAAAACAGAAAACTACAGACCCATATCACTCCTCGAAACACCTGGCAAAATCCTGGAAAAAATGATAAGCCATAGACTAAGAAACCACCAAGAACCTGAAGATAAATACAACCAGAGGCTACACGGCTTTTAGGAAAAGCAGAGGCATCAACACTGCAATAGCCTTAATATACGAATCCATCGCAAATGCAGCCAGCAACAGAAACCAATGCAACATAGTACTCAGAGATGTCAGCAAAGCCTTCGACAAAGTATGGCATGAAGGGCTCAAATATAAGATCATCCAACTTAACATGCCACCCAACATCACGGCTCTCCTCTGCAACTTCATTGACAACAAACAATCCAAACTCACCATCGCCAACTACACAGGGCAAAACTTTACCCTTTACAGTGGAGTACCCCAAGACAGCAACATATTACCAACACTATAGACCATATATACAGCGGACATGCCCAAACCAAGAAACTCAGAGTACATAGCATACGCAGACGACGTAACCCAAATCATACAATACCCAGGGTAATAATCCAAACAAATGATGGCAATCAGAACAGGCAGAGAAATAGAAACCATAAACAATTATTAAAGGAAATGGAAAATTAAAACAAACACGCAATAACTGAAGATAATTCATATAACTAAAACCAGACCTTACCCAATCATGGTCAACAATCAAAATATACCATACGCAGAAAATGGGAAAATCCTTGGCCTCAAAATTACAAGGAACGGCATACTACCACATATCAAAGAAAGAATTGCAAAAGCCCAAACCTAACTAAGTAAACTCAGAAGACTCCGTAAATTAAACACCAATGCACAACTACACTTTTACAAAGCACTAGTCAGACCACACCTGGAATATCCCCCAATTCCACTCAACACTACAATAAAAACAAATGAACTCAAAATACAAGCAGTCCAAAACGTAGCCATCAGAAGAGTAGCAAAACTCAGACCACCATATACAAAAACTTCCAGCGAGCTACACACAGAACATAACCTAATCACAATCAACATCAGAACACATAATCAAGCATTAGCAATATGAGAAAAGCTACAAGAACTAGAAGACCACATACTCCAACAATTAATGCAAGAAGACATTACCAGAACACACGGCTGGTGGCCAAAGAGTAAAACATTACACGACACAGAACCAGAACCAATATATACAAAATGAAAACCAAGAGACACAAAGGACATGGAGGGGCCCCCCACCCCAACACCACAAACTTCCTTAGCTTAGATTAGCTTAGCTTCCCTTTCCTTGACGTAGTGGACCTGCGGAAATGATGACATGGTAGACTTAACCCCGTCCCCGCTAGGTGAATAGCCCACCTGCAATCAATCTCCCTCTTTATTTCCCACTTTTCTAGCTTCTACCTTCCTCCTACACCGTCTTCCACCTTCCTGAGATAATGGATCTTTTCTCTCCATCCCATCATCATCATCATCATCAGGAAAGGCATGTTTATATCCAGTGCAATAACACCAAGAAAGGCTGTGTAAAATGCAAAATGAACAGAGATGTAAACCACAACCACCCAACCATGGCCATGTCCTGCCCTATTAAAAAGACCCTCATAAAACACAAACAGGATGCAGACGAGCAAAATGAAAGGAACGAAGATCAAAATATATATGCATATGTAGAAATAGCAAAGTGGGTGGTAAAGGAGGCAACAAAACCAACCATTAACACGGTGGTAAACCTTTGTGAAACAGATCACTTCAAGGTAATAGCGAACATGCTACATGCTCACCTCATTAACATTATAGTTCCAGGCTCCTGTGCCAATGAACTTAATAGAATGCTGGAAATAAAGAACATGCCAAGAATGAACTTCCCATCAAACCTAAAATCAGCAAAACCTCCTACACGCCCCCAGCACTCCAGAGATTACTGAACACTTCGGGCAAAGAATAGACGTTCCCAAAGAAACAACAGCACCAGCAACCCATGATACCAAACCTGAAAAAGCCATGCAATCCTGAGAAATAAACAAGAAACCAAGAGACCCCAAGAATACCACAAGGCACGGGACAAAAGAGGAAAACAGTGAACAAGAAAAGGGAGGAAGCTCACTACGAAACAACACCTACCCCCCAAAACCTGAGATCGCAACAGATATAGGCCTTAGGTTCTATCAAACATCAAAAATACCATTCCCACCACGCATTCCCACCGCCTCAACTACAACCCTCAAAGAAAAGGAAATAATGGATGATCTTCAATTGAATACACTCAAGATCCTGCTACATAATGTCCATGACTGTAATACATACAAAACATCACTTTGCAACACATACAACGAAATTAGTCCGGGCACACAGTAAGACTAATAAATACAAATGGCGACCCAAACAACTAAACAATAAAAAATATTCAACTATGACACTCAAAAAAATAAATTTGTTTAACTAAAAAAAACACCAATCAAACAAAACTGGACAAAAACACGACGGAATGGCAGCAGCGGTGAAAAAGGGAATCAAATATATAATAATAGATAACTTTTAACATTGAATTTATTGCCGTCAAGCTACAGCCAACTCAGGGCGTAACAGTAGTTGCAACAACTTACCTACCACTACTACTACTACTTTGCTGTCACTCGGAATCCAGTTATAATACAATGATATGAGTTATTAGGGATGTCACCTTCGTTGGTGAGCCCTGAGGTGACTAGAGAGGCCGATACGGGACCAGCAGGGTCGTCCACAGATGTTGCACGTGTGGAGGGCTACATCTATTGCGGGAAAGGCGGTATCAGCAGCTATCCGGTGTTGGAGCTTGTCTGCCTCGGCAAGCAGTCGGGATAACTAGAGGGTATTAATATCTTCTCGTGTGGTGATACTTCAAGCGTTACGGTGTGTGGTAATAGTCTCCCAGGTGAGGGGGTCGATTTGGCACTAATTTCAGGTTTTTCTTAAGACTATCCTTATGTCTTTTCAGTTGCCTATCAGCGTTACATTTACTGTTCATTGGGTGACTAAAAGTAGCTGCTTTGGCAGTATACTATCGTCCAAGCGGATAACATGGCCAGCCCAATGTAGTTGTCCATGGGTAATGGTAGCCTCGATGCTCCTACAGTTGGTGTCAGCGTGAATACTGGCATTTGTTCTCTTGTCTACCCAGCGAACTCGGAGGATGGATCGTAGACTACGTTGGTAAAGGTTTTCAAATGCCTTAAGGTGCCTCCTATATGTGACCAGTGTCTAGCTGCAATATAGCAGGGTGGGGAGGACCACTGCTCGATATACGTGTAACTTTGTAGATAATTTCAGCTCCTACGGCTGGAGATCATGGGTACGGACTCTGCCTAAGTATTGAAAAGCACATCTGATCAGATGTTGAATCTCTTCATCGATGTCCGAGGTGATGCAGAAAAGGAAACCGAGAAACTGAAAGTGGGTAACATTTGAGAGCTTTGTTCCGTTAAGCTGGATGGATGGTGGAGGTGTGGCTGAACCAGCGTAGGCTGAAAAAGAATATGTGTCTTACGTACAGGTACATTCACCTCAAGACCTAACTGTGCATAAGCATCTGCGTAGGTATTCGGGATCTCCTGTAGGTCGCGTTCAGTGTAAGCGACAAGGGTGAGTTCGTCTGCATATTGGACACTGCCGACACATTTGGCCTTGCCTGGTGTCTTTTTATGTTGAAAAGACCCTTTATCCGTACTTGATGTCTACCCCGCTGGCTAAAGTGGCACTGGCGCGAGTAAGGAAGGCGGCCAAGAAAATGGAAAAGAGAGTTGGTGCCAGTACACAAGCTTGCTTTACTCCAGTTTGGATGGAGAAGAACTCAGACTAGGTGCCATTGTGCAGGACACTGCTGCTCATGCCATCGTGGAGTTGCCTCACAATGGCGATGAATATTGGTGGGCAGCCAAAATGGCTAAGGGTCCGCCAGAGGGCTTCCCTGTTGACCGAGTCGAGGAACTCAGTTAGGTCGATGAAGGCCATATACAGGTCAACACACTGTTCTCCGCACTTCTCCTGTATTTGGTGGGCAGCAAAGATCATGTCATTGGTGTCACGTGATGGTCTAAAGCAGTGGTTCCCAACCATTTTAGTACCATGCCCCACTTTTTTATCACAAATTTCTTCATGTCCCCCACCCGTTAATTGTTTAGTATGATATAACAATATCAGGTTTGAAGAAGTATAACATAAAAAATTGTATCTTTCAAATAAAACTAAAGGGTTTAACTTCAAATTTAATCAAATAAAATCCATTTTATAATGTGTATAACATATCTACCATCAGATTAAATAAATTCAATTACAATCAATTAATGAGACCCTTGAGCCTGATGTCTACTGCAAAGAGATTTTATCCGAGGCAGAAATTTTGTTAATTTCAATCTCAAGTCGCCTCGTTTAGTGATATCCAGTCGGTTTCTTTTCTTCAGTAATATGTCATTCACAGCACTAAATCCACATTCCACTAAGTATGACGATGGGAATGGTAACAGTAGTTTTCTTGCCAAACTACTTGTATTTGGATATTTAGCTTGTTCTTCTTCACAGAGCCACATCATTGTTCCTTTTATTTTGAACAGGGCTTTAATCGAGTCATCATTTTGTAATTCTGAAAGTTCTCCTTGATACTCCATGGTTACATCTGACAGATCCACTAGCAATGGCTGAGTCATCCAAGATGGATAATTAATTTCTTTGAAATCAGAAAATCTGAAGTTGAAATCGCTTACCATTATTTTTAAGTGCTCCACAATAACAAGACAAGTAGCATCTGTTACCTCGCATTTATTCAGCCAATAAAATTGTTCAAATTTTTTGACAGAAATATTTTCTTGGGATAATTCCAGAAATGATATAAAGCCAAATATCTTGGCCTTTGAATTAACAAGAGTCATATTTGTTCCTTGGAGCTCCTTATTTAAGACATTGAGTTTTTCAAATATATCTGCTAAATAACTGACAAGTGCTTTACCATCAACTGTCAGTAACAGAGTCATATAAGGTTTGTCATCCAAGAACTCACTAAGAATATCAAATAATTCCATGAATCTTTTCAGGCAATTCCCATTTGATAACCACCTTACATCAGTATGAAGTAATAATCTTACACAGTCTGCATTTTGATCCTTGCAAAATTGTTTGAAAAGACGCTCACATTTGGCATTAGCTTTTATAGTGTTGATGCATTGAATAACTGCATTCAATGTCTCGTTTAGAACAGGGGAAACTTTTTTGGAAACTAAATTCTGTCTATGAATAACACAATGCACTAACAACATTTGGGGATTGTCGTCTTTCAATAATTTTAAAACTCCATTTTTCTTGCCCATCATCACTGGAGCACCGTCTGCAGCACAAGATATAATGTTCTCCATTGGTATCTGCTTATCAAGTAAATATTGAGCTTTATATTCACAGTTTTAAATTAATGTTACTGTGACAAGATCAATGAATGATTATTTTTATACATTATTTTCAGAGAATAACAAGATCAATAATCATAATGAAAAGCACTTTAACCAGCCCTCTCAGTGAAGCTACAAAACAGAGACAGATAACTATATCAACATGAAACTTGCAGTTGTGTTTAATTCAATACTGCTTCCATGCTTTATTGTGCACATTTAATTTGATTGTAGTTAGTTTCCTCTGTTTTTTTAGCTTCAGTGGGAGCGTTGAGCGGCTGACTAAAACTCACCTTCTTCCTTGACAGCAGATGAAGAACTGCTAAGTTAAACAAGTCAGAAGCCACGCATATAGCTGGTGCCAGATGCACGATAACATTAGTGGGTGAACACTTGACTAGATTGCACAAGCTGTTGTGCTCAGCTAGGTTGTAATTACAATTTTACCCTATCAATTTATAATTTTTACCCATATAGAGTAAAATAAAAAAAATGTTGATATTACTATATTTTTCATATTGCCCCCCTATTATTATTGAATTGCCCCCCAGTGGGGCGTAGGCCCCACGTTGGGAATCACTGGTCTAAAGCCACATTTAGATTCTGGGAGGAAGTTTTCCTTCTCAGGAAGAAGTCTTTTAAGGTGGACTCGGGCGATAATCTTGCTAGCTACGGACAGCAGCGAGATGCCACAGTAGTTGCAACAGTCTGACCAGTCTCTTATAAATATTGACGATGAAGGCGTCAATAAGAGCTTGAAGATTTCCTGCTTTTCCCACATATTCTCCAGGAGAGAGTGGAGACAGCTGGTAAGCAGAGATCCTCCTTCTTTATAAACCTCGGCTAGGATTCCATCAGGCCCCGAGGCTTTGTTATTTTTCATCTGTTTGATGGCAGTAGCCACCTCATCTAGGGATGGAGGATAGCTGAGGTGGGTCAGCTCTGGATGCTTAGGAACCTGCTGGGTAGTTTGGACATCCACATCGGTGTTTTGGTTGAGCAGCGAGAGGTAGTGCTCTTTCCAGAGCTGAAGGAAACCTTCTTCGTCCTTAATTAGGGAGTTACCATCGGATGAGCGGAGGGGGGCTGCGCCATGATTGATTGAGCCATAAAATGTTATAGTGGAATTGAAAAATTCGTGCACAGCAGTAAGTGTTAATATCTTCGAATTTTAAAAATTTCAATATAGCAAATTTTTCGTTTGTGTGATCTGTTTTTTTCAAGTAGGTCATTGTCCGTACAACTCTCTTTTGTGCAGTAACCAGAGATTGTGTTTTTGAAGAGCCAGAGGCCCCCCATAGTGTGTGACAGTGTATCAGGTGTTGGTAAACAAAATCATGATAGATTTCTTTCATTGCTGTGAGAGTGAGTGACTGACGAGTGTGATACATGATACCGCACTGTTTATTGATTTTACTGAGTATGGCTTGTATGTGGTTTCTCCAGTTAAGTTTCTCATCAACAATAACTCCGAGGAATTTAGTATTTTGTTCGCGTTTGAGGACTATATTACCAAGGTAAAGGGGGTTCAAGTCTGGAGGTAAGTTTTTTCTTCTGCGAAAGATCGTGTAGTGGGTTTTCTCAAGATTTAGGGTCAGTTTATTACGTATTACCCAGGTCCCGACTTTTGTTAATTCAGTGTTCATAGTTCTCATCAGGAATGGAGGTCTGAGTTGCTGGCATAGAGATTACTATCGCCTGCAAATAAGTTGTATTTTATGAGTGAGCTGGCGTGGACTATGTCGTTTATGTACAACAAAAACAGTACTGGACCGAGAATTGAACCTTGGGGGACTCCATACAAGATAGGCGAGGAGTCAGATTGGTGGTTATTATAACAGACATACTGCATCCTGTTGGACAGATATGAGGTAAACCAATTGTGGGACAGGCTCCTAACGCCGTAATGTTAAAGCTTTGAAAGGAGGATGGTATGGTCGACAGTATCGAAAGCTTTAGAGAGGTCCAAGAATATACCGACTGTGAACTGACTGTCATCAAAGGAATTTAAGATGTCATTAGTAAAGGATAGCAGAGCACTCTCAGTCGACCTTCTAACTCTAAATCCAAACTGGGAGTCTGTAAAGATGTCATTGGCATTGCAGAAGGAATTTAGTCTATTACATGCTTGCTTTTCCAGTATCTTACTCAAGGCTGGGAGGACTGATATGGGGCGGTAGTTCTTGAAGAGACCTTTGTCCCCAGATTTTTTATATGCCGGGTGGACTTTAGCAATTTTCAGTTTATCAGGAAAGACACCACCAGTGAAGGAGGAGTTACAAATATGGAGGAGAACAGTTAGTAATAAGTGGGCCACTTTTTTAATGATGCTCATTGGTATATTGTTTTCGCCTGCTGCTGCATCTTTGGACATTTTTATGATGGCCAGTAATTCATCTGCTGTGACAGGGGATAAGAATAGTTCATTTTGCTGTCTGTTTTGCAGGTAGGTTCTAAATTCCTCATGGTGATCAGGGATGCCCTCTGCAAGATGTTTCCCAACATTAATAAAATATTCATTGAAGTGGTTGGCAAAGAGGGAGGGTTCCGTTATAACTGAATCGTTTATCATAAAAGCTGAGTGGGGGGCCGAAGGCTGAGTGTTCCTGTTCTGAATAGAATTTATGACATTCCAGGTTTTCTTACTATCGCCTGATGCTGACTGGAGCTTATTTGTATAATATTTATGTCTGGCATTTCTAACTGCTTGAGTTACTCTATTTCTGATACTTCGGTAAGCATCACTGAAAGTTATGGGTCTTTTTGCAAATTTCCTTTGGAGTTTGTGTTTTTCCTTTATCATTATCTTAATTTCGCTTGTGATATAGGGTTTGGAAATGAATACTGAAAGTTACTAGTGTCCCCCAAAGAATGCTGTGATGGGTAGGGAAACATCGAGTAACACTGAGTCCGTTTATTATGGATGAGAGAAATACAAGTGGTGACTCGCGTGTGCCATGCACGGCTCACACAGTCAGACTCAGGCTGCCTTGCAATATGGCAGCCTCGGGGCAATGTTGCCACATAACGTGCAGTGTTGCCACGTGATGATATATATAAATGCAACTCGGCACAGTAGCTTATATACAGGGTTGCTACTCGGCACAGTAGCTTATATACAGGGTTGCTACTCGGCACAGTAGCTTATATACATAACCTACATCTCCCTCCCCCCTCACGCTCATAGTCTTTGTCTTGAGCGGACTTCTTAGTCCTAAGTCGCTCCGAGCGTCGAGGTGCACTGTGGGGCGGATCCTCGTGAGGTGTAGGTGACTCGTCCTCATTCAGGGGGCGGGACTGGCCGGAGGAAGCGGCGGTTCCTCCACCAGACACGGCCGCTCGGCATCCTGACCTAAAAGTCCCGCGACCGGCCGACGCCCATCACTATGCCCACCTTGTCCCAACGTGTCGTCGTCGGGTCCTGGACACGGGCAAGGGCACCAATCTCCAGTGGCTGAAGAGGGCGGGCACGGTCGTCATACCGAGCCTTGGCGTCCTGGGAACGTGAAGCGGCGCGGCGGTCGCAGCTCTCGGTTCTGGTCTGCCACTCCTTCGCAAAGGCCTTGGCGTGTGCAGGAACGCAAGAGCGGAGAGGGTGACCATACAGGATCTGGGCAGGGGAGCGTCCTGTGTGGGTGGGAGTATTACGTAACTCCAGGAGTCCTTTGTCAAACGCCTGACAGTCTATGTTGCCTGAAGGGGCCACCTTGAGGATGAGGTGCTTGACTGTCTTGACCGCAGCCTCAGCATGGCCATTTGACTGTGGGTAGTGGGGTGTTGACACGATGTGGCGGACTCCCCAACGCTCTAGGAATCCTGTGAAGTCCCGGCTGGTGAACTGTGGCCCACCGTCCGTCCGCAGACGTACGGGGGCACCCAGGTCACGAAAGAGGTGCCGGAAGTGGCGAATGGTGGCCGCGGACGTCGTGTCCGAGCCACAGATTACCACCACAGGCCAGCCAGAGAGTCGGTCGGCGACAACTAGGAAATGTTTCCCAGCTGTGCTGAAGAAATCAGCCGACACGGACTCAAAGGGCCTGGTGGGTTCGTCGTCGCACAAGAGGGGCTCTTGCTGTTGACTGGGCTGCATGATCTGGCACGGCTCACAGGCACGGACCGTATTGACGATATCCGCGTCAATGCCGGGCCAGTACACAGCCTGTCTTGCGTGGCGCTTGGTAGCCTTTGCTCCACGATGGCTGTCGTGTAAGAGGGCCAGAACGCGACGACGGAAAGCTGCAGGGACGACCACACAGGCACCGTACAGGACGAGGTCCCCATCTACGTAGAGGTCCTCACGTATCTTCCAATACGGGCGAAGGGCGTTGTGGAAGTCAAAACGGTCGCGAGGGAACCCAGTCCTCACACTCTCCAAGAGCTGAGTGTAGGAGGGGTCGTCGCGTGCCGCGGTCCGTAGTTCCTCAAGGGCCAGATCGCTGTCGGGTGGCGACACTGAGGCCTGGATGCTGGCGAGGGACTGTACGGCCTGCAAGGTGACGATGTTGCTGACGGAGAAACCGGCCTCGGTGCTGAGCATTTCGTCTTCAGGTGTAGGGCGGCTGACTGGGGAGCGGGAGAGGGCATCCGGGATGCACAACTCCTTACTTGCGCGCCAAGCCGCGGTGAAGACGAAGGCCAAAATCTTCTCCTTCAGGCGCTAGAGGCGGGGATTCTCGATGGCGTCCAGCGAATAGTGGTTAAGAATGGGGACCAAGGGCCTGTGGTCTGTGATGAGGTCGAAGTGCTGTAGGCCAATCAAGTAGAACTTGCACTTCGATAAGGCCCATACCACTGCCAGCAGCTCCAGTTCGATGGTAGCGTAGCGAGACTCAGCATCGGTGAGGAAGCGAGAGCCACACTGTACGAGCCGGTACTTTCCTCCACCGTGATCCTGGAGAAGGGCGTAACCAACCCCGTACAGGCGCGAGGCGTCTGTCTGGAGGACGGTGGGGAGCGCTGGGTCGAAAGTA